ACCATGGACCCCCCACACGATGCCCACATCCTCCTTTTTTCCATAACATATTATCACCTTCTAACACATTATATAATTTACTTATTTATTATGTTTATTGTTTATTGATGTTGCTCCACAGAATGTAGACTTGAAGGCATGAATCTTTGTTTTTTTTTTTGAGACAGAGTCTCACTCTGTTGCCCGGGCTAGAGTGCCGTGGCGTCAGCCTAGCTCACAGCAACGTCAAACTCCTGGGCTCAAGCGATCCTTCTGCCTCAGCCTCCCGAGTAGCTGGGACTACAGGCATGAGCCACCATGCCCAGCTAATTTTTTCTATATGTATATTTTTAGTTGTCCAGATCATTTCTTTCTATTTTTTAGTGGAGACGGGGTCTTGCTCTTGCTCAGGCTGGGAATCTTTGTTAATTGAGGTATCTCAAGTCTCCTAAACAGTGCCTGAGAATGAATGAGCGAATGAATGAATGAATGAATGACTCCTAGTACCAAATGATAATTACTGAAGTAATTCCACTCTTAAGTCCCACTCCCTTTAAATATAAAAGCATTTCTCAAGCAAAATCAGCATTTACAGAACCCAAGGTATATTATACCCACATTTTTTCCGGTTAGCATTCTGAATTATCCAAATTTTTTGGTCTCATTTAATAGATGAAAAATGGTATTTTGTTTTAATTTGTATTCCTTTAGCACATAACATAGTTGATTTTTTTCCTGTGGTTTGTTTACTTACTAGTTAAATCCATCTTTTATGAACTGTCTGAGGTGCCCATTTATCAGACTGTTTACATTCTGTCTATTATGCATATTCTGTAATATTAGCTACTATTTATTGATTACTCTTCTATGTGCCTATGTTCTTTTTTTTTTTTTTGAGACAGAGTCTGGCTCTGTTGCCCTGGCTAGAGTAAGTGCTGTGGCGTTACCCTAGCTCTCAGCAACCTCAAACTCCTGGGCTCAAGCGATCCTCCTGCCTCAGCCTCCCAAGTAGCTGGGACTACAGGCATGCACCGCCATGCCCGGCTAATTTTTTCTATATATATATTTTTAGTTCTCCAAATAATTTCTTTCTATTTTTAGTAGAGACAGGGTCTCGCTCTTGCTCAGGCTGGTCTCGAACTCCTGACCTTGAGTGATCCACTCGCCTCGGCCTCCCAGAGTGCTAGGATTATAGGCGTGAGCCACCGCCCGGCCTGTTTTTAATTACTGTACAATGTTATATATCATTCCAGCTACAGCTTAAATTCTATACACTTATATATTAATAATATGGAATTATACTAGCATGTATACTGTATGTAGGTAATAGTCATTGTTAACATTTCTTGAGAGTTTACCACATGTCTCATAACAATTTTGCGAGGTAGGTATTATCACTGCTCTCATTATCCTGATGAAGAAATTGATAGTCAGCGAGGTTAAGTAACTTGACCAAGGTCACACAGCTGGTAACTTAGCAGTTTAAATCCAGGATCAATTCTCTTACTTACTAGTAACAACTATGTTATACTTTTTCCTTGGTATACAAAGTCTTGTATTATATGTTTAAATTTACAGCTCTAGAGCTGGATGGTGTTTTGGTAGATGTTTTAATGATAGAACCTAAAAACTGTCCTCAGCCTATTAATTAATCCTAGGACAATACTTGCTGATTTATTAGAAAAGAATCTTTTAGGCACTTTATTCTTAACAACAGTATGTCTACAATCACCACTTCACTTTTAAAATTGAATCATATTAGTAGCCTTGATTTTTAGCTAGTTATTATTGGCCTTTAGGTGGTGTTAATTAATATAATATTTATTTTACTAGGGAGATGAATGGGAATTATTGCTGCTTAAAAACAAGGATATGCTCTTTCTTTTTTGTGCTCTTGAATTTAAGGAATTTTTAAGATTATGTTTTGGGGATTAGAGGGATGGGGGGTAAACCCATAACTAAAGGACACGGTGAGCATTGTAGAGGGGAAGGGCACGCCTCTAACCCTCGCTTGGGTGAGGCAAAGACATAAAATGTAACCAAAATGTTTGTACCCTCATAATACCCTGAAATAAAATAAATAAATAAATACATAAATAAATAAATAAAGATTATGTTTTGGTAGCATTCAGATTACACTTGCAGAATGTATTCTGCTTGGTCATCTTTACTAAGTGTAGCATTTCAGCTTTACCTGAGGTATTAGGTACATTATTCGTATTTTGGGTTGAGAAATGTGTCTAGATAGGTTGCTTTTTATGTGTTGTAGTTGGTGAAATAAGAGAATAGCTTATCTTCAAAGTTTTCTTTAGGGCCTTCATTATGTCCTCTTTGAATATTTATGTTACTTGTTAAACTGTTTATGATTCTGAAGACATCAGAATACTGAGGAAAATGGATTTTTTTTTTAATAGTATTTCTTCATGTCTCTTTTTAGGGACACTGAATAGATGTTTTACTAATATGATCCAAAAAAAAAAAAAGAATTCTGATGAGCAGAATATCATGTGAAATTCTCCTCCATAAACTATCAATATCATTTAAAGAATAGTTTTAACCATTTTTATAAAGCAAGAAGGTTATTAAAAACTGCTAATAAAAAATAGATGCTTATTTTTGTGCTAATACTAATTACTGATAATGCATGCTTATGTTTGTCACTCATTATATGGCACTGTACCAATCAGTGGATGACTGAGACTCAAGCACTTACACATGTAAATTAACCATTAGATTTTTTTTTTCTTTTTTACTTAAGTGAGTCATAATGGAAAGCAACTCTAGGTCATAAAAAAATCTTTTCTCTTTAATGCTAATGAAATGTCTCCACTCTCTGTATTAGCAGACTACCCTTATTGGTAATCTGTACCCTTCTCTTTTGTTCCTGGTGGTAATGAAATGCTGGGTGCTGAAAAAGCCGCTCTCCAAGAATGTGTGGCCAATTGTCTTCTGTTCACTTATACTGTAAAATTACTGTTCCCTGGCAAAGCCGGACAAGTACGGGGACAAGATCAAAAGAGTATACGTTGGCACCCGGCTACACCAAGTGACTCCTCCTTTATTAATTAGTCATAGCTTCTCCAAGTTAATTTACTCTGATAGGGCAAAAACATTCCGTAATATAAAAGCAACAAATTATAACTCAACCACAAGCTTTTACTGTTTGCTTTCTTCAACTTTCAGTGTAAACCTTTGCACTGTGTTGTAAGCTAAAGGTCCCTTCATTTTTCTCAACCTTAGGGCACAAAGCTATTTTAAATTTTTTAAAAACCTTGGTGATATAGTCAAATGGCAAATTTTATTCTCTAAAATCGGGCAACTGTTAATTGATATCCTTCTTTTAAAAAGTCAGTGTATTGGGAATCCAATTTAAAAGTGTAGTTGGTATTAAAATTTGCAAGCTTGTTCTGTCCTCTCATCAGAAATGCCACTGGTGTTTAAGCCTTTGAAAAGGACCTTCTCTGTGAGCGTTTTTGCGGAAGCAAAATTTGACAGTGATCCTAAGCTCCAAATTAAATAATATCAGCCCACTTTCCTTTTCATTTTAATCTCCATTTTTTAATTCTCTGAGCCTTTTTAATTTAAGGAACCTTTAGTTGTTTTTTTAGTTAATATATTTTCAAGTTATAGCCTGAGCCAACAACAACAAAACTCTGTACATCTGCATTTCATGGTTATGTTTTGCTTTGTTCAGGTGGGAAAGAAAGAATTAAACTTCTGAATGAGATAATCAGCTATAAAGAGAAAAGTAATTTAGACCTGTACAACCCAGGTAGTGGTTGCGCTATAACTGTTTAGTTGGTAACTTTTAGTATTTTGATCTAATTGAGAGAATTCCACTAGTTTGTGTGTCCTCTAGCATGGTTTAAAAATAACAATGTGATGTATTTTGTGAATGTATATAAAGCAAAATTTATTGAGGTTTGAAATGTGCTGTTAAGAAAGATCAAAACATTTTTACACTGTGAGTATCTAAAACCCTGTTATATACTTAGGGAAGTTACAATGATTAATATCAGTCTTCACTATATATTTGTTTTTCAAGTCAGATTTCTTCCCTCCTTAATTGCTGTATTTCTTTGTGAATTGTAAAAGCTTTTTGAAAACAGTTATCATTAAGCTTATTTTTAAATTGTGAATTTATAAAATAATTTTAGAAAAGATCAGTAGTTATATTTCTCTGTAACCTAACTTAGATGGAATAGTTTTATCTGCGTTATGCATTTCTAGTGTTGCGAGAAGTTATTTTTTAAAGCATTGTATTAACCATTCTCAAAAGTTGTTTTTTTTTTTTTTGTGGAAGGAATATTTGTGTTTGCGAAGGTTAGCAGAGGCTGGCTGTGCTGGAAGTGACTGCAGTGCCTTTTGATTATTCATGGACAGTAATAGAAGGCACTTAAAAAGAACAATGAAATTGCTTATTTTTGTGATGGGCCATCTGTTGAATTGTTTTGTGCAACAATTGCACAATAGTATCTATGTCATATCGTTCTATTTTCAACAGCAGCTGATTATGTCTCACTGGCTACTTGTCCTTATTTCTAAAGGCCCATGACCATTTAAAGTCACCTTTCCAGGAACCTTTGCCAGAAAGGTATTAGAAATCTTGAACAGCTTGCGTATTTTATTATTATTTCTCTTTTTTTCTCTTTCTTTTTTTTGGGTGGGAGGAGCGGGTAGGAATAGGAGGAGGGAGTTGGTCATGTTAGTTCTAATTAATTAGACTTCCTAAATGTTTAGGACAATTATCTATGCTTTCCACCTATAGTTCTATAAAAGAAGTTAACATAGAATCATTTGATAATTTGTGTAGAAACGATAGGCTTGCAAAAAAAAAAAGTCAAGTTTAAAAGACTGCTGTACAGTGTTTCATGGTTTTAATTATCTACTCTTTTCTTCATGGTGGTAATTAGAATTTTTCTCTTGGAATTTACTTCCATCTTAAAAAAAAGACTATTCATTAGCAAATTTGTTAGAGCAGAAGTGAAATTAAAATAAAACAACTGTGTTGTTGTCAATAGGTCACTGACATTGCTGATGCCATGATTCTGAAACAGCTTTTTGAAAATCTGTTCAAAAACGGGGTCGTCGTTGTGGCAACATCCAACAGGCCACCAGAAGGTAAAAACAAACATTGTGCTAGTCTCACCCAATTAGGTGGAAACTGACAGGCTTTTATAAATCCATCATTTTGTACTAATTTTATTGTGTTAATAAATCTGATGACTTTGCTTATCATTAATTTTGTAATTGGCTTAGTCTGAAAAATCAGTTCGTATTTGTATTTGAAAAGTTTTTATATTGTTACCATGCTAAATCCACTTGATTCCCACGTTTGGTGCACTTGCTGTTTTTTCTTTTCTCCTGAATCTTACATATGTCATAGGTGCATATCAAAAAATGCAGGCCTTTCTAACTTCTTTTTATGGGCCATAAAAGAAATTCAGGCTGTGTACAGTGGCTCACACCTGTAATCCTAGCATTCTGGAAGGCCGAGGTGGGAGGATCACTTGAACTCAGGAGTTCAAGACCAGCCTGAGCAAGAGAGAGACCCTGTCTCTACAAAAAATAGAAAAAAAGTATTAGCTGAGTGTGGTGGTGCATGCCTGTAGTCCCAGCTACTCTGGAGGCTGAGGCAGGAGGATCACTTGAGCCCAGAAGTTTGAGGTTGCAGTGAGATATGATGATGCCGCTGCACTCTAACCTTGACAACAGAGTGAGACTCTATCTCAAAAAAAAAGAAGAAAAAGAAAGAAATTAATTCAATGAAATGAAAGATGAAACTCCCTAATTAAATTTTAGGAAAAGTTTTAACGCTCACTTGTACGAGTAGTTTCTAATACTTCACTTAAATTACCATTTCTAAAAAAGCACTTGTGGTTTATTAGGAAAGTATTTAAAAATTAAAATACAAGTGATATTTAGATAAAAATAAGTGTAAAATCTTGTATCTTTCAGCCCGTCATGTGGTCAGTTAAAGGTTTAAGGAACCAAAAATAATATTTTATGAGAGACTTGATGTTAACATCTTTCTGCCTGGAATACTCTCCCCTCTGCATGGCTAAGTCCTTACCTTCTTTAAGTCTTTGTCCAAAAGTTACTTTGCCAGTGAAGCCTAGACTTGTCTCCCTATTTGAAGCTACAACACGTTCCTTTTTGCCTGGTACTGCTTCTCTTTACCCTGCTGTATATTTTTCCTGTAGCACTTATGGACCCACTGTATAATTTACTTATTTATGGTACTTATAGTTTGTTGTCTGTCCCCTTTGAGGATTCAAAAGCTTGCTGAAGGCAATCATTTTTCTCTCTTCTAATCTCAGATATATCCCAAGCACCTCTAACAGTGCTTTGTACGTAAATGGATCTCAGTAAATCGTCTTAGAATGAATGTTGAGTCAATGCATGTTTTAAAAAGATCTCTCTGGCCACAGTGTTGAGAATAGACTGTGAGGATGCAGTTCCAAGGTTGGAAGTAAGGAAACCCTTTAGGAGACTGTTGCAACAATCCTGAGAGGAGATGATAGTGCAGTGAAGTGGCGAGAAGTAGGCAGATTCTGGATTTATTTTGTAGGCAAAGTCAACAGGATTTACTGATGGAATGGATATAGGGTATGAAAAAAAAATAGAGATATCAAGAATGACTCAAAGGTTTTGGTCAGAGCACTTGGAAAGATGAAGTTGCTGTTTACTGAGATGGGGAAGACTACAGGAAAAGCAGGTTTGCGTAGGCAGGTGGGTTGCTGCGATGACAAGGTAGATGCCTGTGAGTTTAGACTTCGCTGGAAATATAAATTTGGGAGTTGTCAGTCTTAAAGGAGGCTGGAAAGAACAGCCAGCAAGGTAGGAGGAGAACCAAGAGAGTGTCCAATGAGGAAAAGAAAAATGGTATAAAAAGAATGGATGATCACCCTTGTTAAATGCTGCTACAAGGTGAAAATGAGATTGAGAATTGACCACTGGAATTTGTAACATGGAATTCCTTAGTGAACCTGAAAAAAGCAATGGAATAGTGTGAGTTTTTTTTTTTTTAATAAGCTATGCCACATTGATGACTTATACTGAATTTGTAATTACTAACACACCCAGATCTTACTATGTAGGCTGCTGTCAATATGGGTCTCATTGTGTTTGTGTAGTTGATATATTTTTCTTCCTATTACATTTCAGCTTATTAGTTTGTCTACATTGTTCTATTTTATTGATCTTTGTTGAAATCTTTTTGAAGTATTATTCTAACAAAATTTTTTTTTGGCTATCCCTACTAACTGTGACATTTATAAATTTGGTAATCATGCTTCTATATCTTCAACCATTTATTAATTAAAATGTGTAAATAGGACAGGACTAAATTTAGTCACTTGTAGCATACCACTAGAGCCCTTATTTTAGGAATACATCAATTCATTAATCAACACTTTTTGGATCCAGTTATTCAAACAACTATAGTTATACCTCATCTGTTCCACTATAAGAGAATTATGAGTGATTTTGTCAGATGCACTTATTAAAATCTACATAATATTATACACAGTATTCTTATGATTTAGTAGTATTAGCAACCCTATGAGCCAAGGCAGTGAGCTTTTAAATATTAGATCATCTATCTAGGTACAAGTAGGCTTGCCTCTACTGTATCTGACATGTTGATTTAACAGTGTCATCAGTATTACCTTTAGGCATTTAGTGACAAATTATGTTCATAAATAGCAAAGTGTAGAACAATTTCGGCAAAGACTGCTGAAAGGAAAATTGCAGTTGGCTGCTCAGGCTACTGAGGTGTGGTAGACTGAGGAACAACTACCACAAGGAGAGGTTAAAGAACATTTTGCAGCTCATAGCTTTGTAGGAGTGAACAAAGTTACTGGTCATCAGAATAGCATGCAGAAAATGAGCTGGAGCCACCCTTCTAGAGAAGACTTAAAGTTTAAGATGCAGAATTGCAAAAATTGGACAAACTTAGATAAAGCCTTTTCTAAATATGAACTGTAGAAGGGATCCTTGTCATATACTAGGTTTTTTAGCCACAGCGATCATTTATAAGTAGCTTAATATTTTAATGTAAAGAAGATGGCATATTAGTGTGTGTGTGTGTGTGTGTGTGTGTGTGTGTGTGTGTGTGTATTTCAAGAGTGGAGGAAAAGAGTCAGATATTAAGTATGGATATCAGGAAAAGGCAAAACTATAGGACAAAGAATGGACCAGTGATTGCCAGGAGCTGGGGTGGGGAGAAGTTTGACTATAAAGGGGCAGCATGAGAGAATTTCTTAGAATGATGGAAATGTTCTATATCTTGATTGTGGTGGTGGTTACATGTGTTAAAACTCATGGAAGTGTTTACCCCCAAAAGTTAATTTTACTACAAGTAAATTAAAAGCAAATCACCTGGATAGTGAGTGACAGAACAGAGACTATAATCTATTTTGTGACGGTTTTAACACATTGCTCTCTATCTTTTCTCTTTGTTAGTCATCACTGATCTTTGTCCACTCTGTCCCAGATAAAGAATATCCTTTTTTCCAACCATCAAAATACATTCCACTTTTCTTTAGATTACAACTTTTGATCCAGGTCCCCAGATAATTGTTTTGTTTTGTTTTCCAAATAGAATCTACTTCTCAGACTGTTACAAGAGCTGGGGGAAGAACCTTTCCAGCAGAGAGTTGAGGCAAAGCCGAGTGGCTGGAGAGAGAATGGCTCATTTGAGGAACTGCGAAGGTAGTCAGTGTGTGGTTAGAGTGGAGAGTGAGGAGAAGAAGGAGGCAGTGAGATAAAAGATGAATCTGGAGTGGGAAGAGCTTGACCTTGTAGCATTAATAAGGATATAGGGTTCTATTCTAAGAGAAATGGTAAGCCATTGAAGCTTATCTTTTTTTTTCCTTCTTTCTAATGTCCACCTGGACCACAGTGTTCTAGAACTTCTCAAAGGCATCATAGATGCTGGTCTGGGGCCTGGGATGCAAACAAAAACAAATCAGAGGCAGTTATGTGGGCAAGAATGGGGAGAGGGTGATGTCTTCAAGGTCCTTTAGAGCAACATATACAAGGAATGAGCTGCATACACAACCAGGGAATCTGCTTTTTATAGCCACTGCACATTGAGCCTCCATCAGGGATGTTGGCAAGTTGGCTCAACTAGCAGCAATTTAAGTTTATCTTAAGCAGGGACTGAGAAGGTCTGAATGGGTTACTGAATGGGTTGTAGTAATGTGGTAGATACAGGGAGTCATATTAGGAAGCTGTTGTTGCACACTAGACAAGAAATTATACCACCTTCGTATAAGGCAGTGATTCTCAACTGGGAAGCTATTTTGTTCACCAGGGGATATTTGGCAATGTCTAAGACATTTTTGGTTGTCTCACCTGGCTAGGGAGGGATGCTACTGGCATCTAGTAGAGAGAGGCCAGGAATGTTGCCAAAAATGCTATGATGTACCTCCCACGGTAAAGAATTACGTGGCCAAAAATGTCAGTAGTGCCTACGTTAAGAAACCATGGTACAGGGCTATGGCAATGGATATGGAGGAAAGGATAGATTTGAAAGACATTTAGGGGATAAGATGGCTAGCATCTGGGTATAGACTGGTTATTGAGAAAAAGGGAAACGACAGTTTCTAAATTTCTGGGTTGTACAACTGGGTGAATGGTGTGCCTACCATTCAATAAAGACAGAAAACTCTAGAGATAAGAAGATAATGCCTGGTGGAGAAGAACATATATTTTTTTTCCCTCTCCATTAATCCTTTAGCCTCTCTGTTTAATTTCTTTTGTTTTATTCGTTTCATTTCTAGTTTTTATATATCAATTTCCTGGGCAAGAATGAGGGTTGTTGGTGATGGTGGGGTTAAAAATCATATCCTGATTTTTTTTGTCAGCTAATAACTTAATTGTTAATTTATAGACAGATTATTAATTTTAACATAAAATGATAAGGAACATTTAATAAATAATTATTTTATTTTATTTTAGTTCATTTTATTTTAGTTTATTTTAGTTTATTTTAGTTTATTTTAGTTTTTGAGGCAGAGTCTTGCTCTGTTGCCCTGGGTAGAGTGCATTGGTGTCATCATAGCTTGCTGAAAGCTCAAACTTCTGGACTCAAGTGATCCTCTGACCTCAGCCTT